GGAGGGAGGGAGGGAGGCAGGCAGCAGCGAGCTGGGAAGACGGGGCCTTTGCGTGCTGCGACCCGCTCTTAGACTTGACCCCGTACGCAGCCCTCTTGTCGACCACCCCAAGGTTGGCGAGCTTGCGCTTCGCCTACCGCATCGACCAACCAGTTCATTCCTCGCGCTGGTGAGCGCACGAACCTTGGTCGACGTCTCGCGTCGGTGGGTGCGTGGGTCGGGAGGTGTACTGCTGGGGTCGGGGAGGCGGCGCCGGGGGTGGCCGTGGCGGGGCTGCGGAGGGTCGGCGGCGGCTCGGGCCGGGCGGCGGCGGTGTGTGGGGCGGCGGTGATGTGCTGTGGCTGGCTCTCTGCGGCGAGCTTGTGCGTCGCCTCCTCGGCCTGCGACAGCTTGCTCTCGGGCTCCTTCTCCGCCGCCGCGAAGAGCCCCTCCTTCGCCTTGCGCACGTTTGACGCGCGCGGGATGGAGTCGCGCCTAAAACGGAGAGGTCGGCCGTCCGCGGCGGTGCATGAGCTCCGTTTTTGTGATGCTCGAGCTGCGTCCGCGCGCCCCTCGGAGCCCGCCGGGGAGGAGCCGGGCCTGCGGTGCGACGCGCAGGGGTACTCAGACCACTGCGTGCGTGCGGGGGCTACGGGTACAGTGAGAACGCAGTGGAGTCCGCGTCCTGCCGCGCGTGTGTCTGGTCAACGGGCAAATCCGCGTTCCGCTTCTAGGCTGCCGGGCGTCGACGCGGGAGAACGGCCCATCGCCTTGTTCTCAAGCTTCATCATCGCCTGTGGACACGCGTCGAGGACGCGTCGCGGAGGTGCCCTTGTAGAGTGATCTCGAGGGCGATCTCGGCGCAATCTCGTGGCGATCTCGAGCGATCTCGGGTGCGCCGCCTTGTCTCGCGCGGTGAAGTTCGTCTTCTCCTTGGGAATGCTGGCCTACGACAGGAGGGCGGGGAGGCCGTGCCGTGCACACAAGAGCCTCCAGCGCGGGGAGGGTCATGGTGGCCGATGACGATCTCGGACGAGGACGATCCTGGGGGCTGCGGACGGTCTCCTGCCGAGTCTCCGCACGGCTGCTGGTCGCGACACCGCGCGGGTGGCTCGTGGGGCGGCGTGGGAGTCCGTCCTCTCGCGGGCGCGGATTCAGAGCACCGCGTGAACCACGAGGGGCACGAGAGCAGTGCACACCGCTGAGTGCGTGTGCGTGTGCGTCTCCCCTCGACCGCTGCCTCGACCGCTGGCTGGAAGCCAAGAATGCGGCCGTGCGGCGGCACCGCTCTCTGCGCCGGCTCCGGACGCGGCACGGGCGAGGCGATTGACGCGCGGCGGGGCGCGCTCGCTGCGCGGGTCCTCTCGGACCTCGCCCTCCCGCTCGTCGGCCCACTCTCGGGTAATCTCGGGTAATCTCGGGGAATCTTGGGGACTCTCGCGAGGGCGCGGCGGTGGAGCGGAACGGAGAAACAGTCTGCGCGTCGCTCCGGCGCTGTTCTAGGGAAGGCGCGCGCCTTGATGTCCTTTAGGTTGCGCATGGCCTCGGCGTGCTGCGAGCTGCCCTCCACCTATTCACAGCGGGAGGTGTGAAGAGACGCTGTCCACAGCTAGGGGGCGAGCTGCGAGCTGCCCTCTCTCCGCCTTGACCCGCTCCAACTTGACCGCCCGGACTCGCTTCTCGTCGCCCTTAGGCAGCTCCTGCTGCTGCCACTTCTTCAGCGCCGCCGGGCCGCCCGTCGCCGCGGGAGCCGGCCTCGGCGCCTCCGCCGCCTCCGCCTCCGCCGCCTGTATCTGAGCAAAGATCGCCGCCCTGGCGTCGGCTGCCTGCGAGGCCGTCGATGCCTGCGACGCGTCCGACATATTCGAGTCGCGGCCGGGCGCCGCCGCCGCCTCCCCCCCCTCCTCCTCCGCCGCTCCCTCCGCCTCTCCCTCCGCCTCGCCCGCCGCCTCGCCCGCCGCCGCCACCGCCGCCTCTGCCAGCCCGAGCCCCTCCACGTACGAGCCAGGGAAGATCCCGACGCGCCCTGGCTCGCTCTGCTTGGAGCCGGTCCACCAGCCTGCGGCACAACAGTGCGAGGGTGTGAGCACTCGAGCTCACGCGCATAGAGGCCGTCCTCGCGTCCGCCTTCCCGGGGCCCAGTGCAGCCTGCTGACTGCCGTCGCTGTCTGTCTGTTCTCGACTGTATGCATTGATCTTGGGGGCGGGTTGTGCTCTGCGTGAAGACGGCAGAACTGAGCGCGAGTTGGACGATTCACGGGCCTGCCCTCCGCCTCTAGGCTCTGAGATCTGGGGAGATCGGATCTGCACTCCGCTTCTAGGTTCCGAGATCTGGGGAGAGATGTGTCTCTCCTTCCGCTTCTAGGGCCACCAGCCGTCGTCCGCCTTGTCCAAGATGACGAGCACGTCGCCCTCGCCAAAGCCGAGGTGGTCCCCCTCGGTTGCCTCGAAGGCGTACAGTGCCTTGACTAGCTCCGACCCCGCCGCATCGGCCGACGCCGCCTCCGGCTCCGCCGCCGCGCCCTCCTCCACCGCCGGCTCCTCCTCCGCTGCCTGGCCAGTCCCGGCCTCCACCTCCTCCTCCGCCGCGCCGGCCGCCTCTGCCTCGCCGTCCGCCGCAGCCTCCGCCACCACCTCGTCCGCGGGCGCGTCGGCGACCTCACTCCTCGCGCTGATCACCTCCTTGGAGGAGCGCCGCGAGGCGTCCACAGCCGCATCCGCCTCGTCCGCCGCTGGCGTGGCAGCCGGATCGGCGGGGGCCTCACCTTCCGCCTTGGCCGCATCGGCCGTCGGCTCGTACGCCTCGACCTCCTGCCTGGCCTCCACCTCCGTCACCGCCTCCGCCTCTGCCCCAGCGGGCGGCTCCGCCGATGGCTCGGCCGGAGCGGGCTCGGACGGCGCGGCGGCGTCCGACTTGCTCTTCCTTGATGAGGAAGAGGCGCGGCCGGTAGCTGGCGCGTTCGCCTCGGCTGGCTTGGCGGCCTTCTTTGAGAACCAACCCATAGCCGCCGCTCGTGCCCCCGGGAAGCTGAGAGCGGCTCGACAGGAACGAGAGCGGCCCCTGATGGTCGGCGAGCCGCCCTCCCTTCAACACTTCGGCAAGGTCTTCTCCTTTCCACGTGTTAGCGGCGGCGGCGTCGCAGGATGAGGCAGAGGAGAGCGACCGCGACCAGAGGAAGAAGCGACACGAGAGAGAACTACGAGAGTGGGACGACCGCGAGGTGGCATGAAGGTTGCAGAGAATCGGCGAGGGACTGCGAAGAGAGATAGAAAGAGGCAGACGCCCAAGGGCGGGCGACGGCTAGCACCACATTCCTCTCCTTAAAATCCCTCGGCCCGCTCGCTCGCAGCGCATTGCCATTGCAGCAGGAGAGATGTGAAGAGCGCGAGCATAGACACAGAGGTCCACACACACACACAACAGTTTGTTTGGTATTGCTAAAAATCTCTCTCTCAACAGTGTGAACCTCAACCTCTCATCGACCAGCGCTCAGAGAGAGTGCTCGATGACAAGCCCAAGTCTGTGAATGGCGACTGGCAAAGAATACGGACCGCCTCCTTTTGCATCGCCCTACAAAACAGCCCGGTGCCGCTCGTGACGTCGGCCAGGCACGATGGGCTCTTGCGGCAGCAAGCCAACCGGGGAGGAGGAGGCTGTGGATCACCGCTGGACGGAGCCGAACGCGCCGAACCGTGAGGCGTTCGAGAGCGGCGAGCTTCTGCACGAGCCACCGCAGTTCGTCCACTTTGACCCTGTGAAGAACGAGGCGAGGCCGCTGCTCATCAAGGAGATCAAGCTGCCCCGCGCGACTCAAACGCACGAGGTCTGCTACGAGCCGTCGACGCGGTGCGTCTTTGTGTCGCAGATGAGCAACTCGACGCTGGTGCGGATCCCGGTCGACGAGCGCGGCGTGCTGGTGGACGACCAGGACGCATGGAGGATGGGCGAATGCGACGCTGCGACGGGTGCTGGCATCTCCGGCCTGCACAACATCTCTCCCTCAAAGGCGCACCCGGGCTGTCTCTGGATGACGCTGCAGTATGCAAACGAGCTGCTCCTCGTCGATGTGCGCGGAGAGCACCCGCTGCGCATTCGGCAGGTCCTCAAGGTGCCTACGCTCTGCACCGATCCCGCCACCGGCGAGACCCAGCGCGTCGGTGGGCCGCACTGCATGCGCGAGTGTCCGATCTCCGGCGAGCTGTGGGTCGGCCTCAAGGGCGGCACCATATGGAGTCGCACGCACACAACCCTTCTGGGTGGGATGAGTGGTCCAGTTTGAAGAGTGTAGGCTCGCTCAAGGACACGCCCTGCCGCTCGCGCGGCCGCGGCGGCCGCAGCTCGTGCTGCGACCCGGACGCAAACGAGACAAACATGGCGGAGCTCGCGCGGCGAGGCCACGACACGCCCCTCCCCGACGGGTGGGCGGTGTGGCGCGTGGCGCCGAGCGAGTACGACCCGAGCGCCAAGGGCGGTCAGGGCAAGGGCGGCAGGCTCTACCCGTGCCTCACCTCGCCGCCGATGCTCGACTTCGACTCGCTCGGCAACGTCTACGTCCCGCAGGACGGGGTCGACACGGTGCTCTACATCGACCGCGAGAGCGGCGAGAGCAAGCAGCTGACGGCCCGGCCTTGAGCTCCACAAGGAGACGCCTGCACGCCTCTCTGTCTGTGACTGCCACCTCTCGCTCTGTTTTAGGTCCCCTTCCCGGCGAGCGGCGCGACGCCGCGCATCACAGGCCCCGCCGTCGCGAGACAGTGGGTCCTCGACCGCCACAGGACATGTCCCCGACACGTCCAGGACACACGCCCCACAGGCCCCGCCGTCGCGACCGCGCCCGACGGCTCAGTCTGGATGACGCTGCTCGGCTCGTCAGCTCTTAGACCCTAGCCCTCAGCCCTTAGCCCTATAGCCCTACCTGGTAGCCCTAACCCTAGCCCTCTGCCCTTATAGCGCCCTTCGCCCTATGGCCCTGCCTGCATGGTAGCCCTGACCCTAGCCCTAGCCCTAGCCCTGTGGCCCTGGCCCTGGCCCTCCAGGCTCGTACAACTCTCTCGTGCGCATCGACCCGCGCCGCGGCCACACGCGCGAGCTCTACGCCTTCGGCGGGCCGCCCTGGTGCAAGACGATCCGCCTGATCCACCTCGCCTTTGGCAGCGGCGGCCGCGGAAACTTCATCTACGCGCTTGCTTCGGACCTCCTCGAGGACGAGGTGTGGTCGGCGGTGCATCGGTCCGCCTAGTTCAGGACACGTCCACGACGCGTCCACACGGCACGTGGCAGGCGGTCGACGCGGTCGTCGTGCTACGGATGGACGCGAGCTCGCCCCCCCCCCCCCCCCACCCCAGCCCCGAACACGCATATGCCCCCACAACTTTTGGGCGGTTTATGTCGGCGGCATCTCGGCGGCATCTTGGCTGTAGGAGAGCTGGGCGCGCTGCCTCGGCCGACGGGTCATCCCGCTGCCGACGCAAGACTGCTCGTGCCACCGCATCGCCGTGGTCGACGCGGGCCCTAACCTCGGAGGGGACGGGCGCTCGATCGTCATCACCGAGCTCGCCTCGTCAAAGCTGTTGCAGGCCCGAGATATACGCACAGTCACTTCACACACACACACACACACACACACACACACACACACACACACACACACACACACGCCCACACACACACACACACACACACACACACACACACACACACACACACACACACACACACACACACACACGACACACACCTCACGCTTGGTATAGATTGTATTGTCCACCCTGCGTGCACGGAGCGACACGGCGTATTGCAAGAAGCTGCGGGAGAAGCGGACCCAGCCTCACATCAGGAGCTTCTTCCCCTGTGTAGGTCGAGTTGCGCCACCTGGTCGACTTCCAGCCGCTCGACGAGTCGGTCTCGACCGACGCGGACGGTTTCGTGGTGCACAGCTACACGACGGGTGAGTCCGAGGCCGGCCACAATTGCTGAGCGCCGGCCTCGTCCTGGGTCCCAAAGAGCGGGAGGGAGCGCCAGAGGCTCCGCCACAGCATCACGCCGGTGGCGGTAGCGAGGGCGTGCGAGGAGCGAGGAGGAGAAAGAGGACGAGATCGTGTGGCGGCGAAGAGAAAGCTCGAGAGAGATAGCGGCACGGAGGCGGCTAACTAAGGTAGGAAAGGGGTGGGGTAAGGTGTGTGGACCGTGAGCCGAGGGTTTCCTCGGGCGCCTCCTTCTATGAACGATGGGAGCTTCTGTGTCCCCTAGCCAATGAAAGGAAGCTAGAGCCGTATCTCGAATCTGAATCGCATCTAACTGTTGTACTAATTTATTTATACGGCTTTATTGAAAACGTCTCGCCAACGGAGCTCCGTGTTGCTCCCAGCGCCACCCCCCGCGCTCCCTGCGGCCATGGTCGATGATCCTACTTCCTAGTATGAGCGGTCATCTGGCTACCGCGAGAGCGACCCAACTCGTCGACATCGTCCGATGATGGTGCCGCAAAGTCAGCCTCCGGAGGCTATCGTGGGGTCGAGCCGGCAGTGGCCGTGACATGTGGTTCCACCACCCCTCGTAGGCTTTGCCTCTCTGAGCCCTGGCTGTCAGGCTGTCAGGTGCTGTCAGGTGATCTGTCGGGCTGTCGGGCAGCTGTCAGGCACTGTCAGGTGCCTCTGTCAGACCAGCTGTCGGGTGCTGTCAGTGCTGTCAGGTGCTGTCGGGTGCGTGTCTGACATCAGAGGGGCTCTGTAGCTGTCGGGTGCTGTCGGAGCTGTCGGGTGTTGCTGTCAGACGCTGTCGGAGCTGTCAGAGCTGTCAGGCTGCTGCTGCTGTCAGACGTTGGGCTGTTGCTGTCAGGTGCTGTCAGGTGGTGCTGTCGGGGTGCTGTCAGGCTCTGACACACACCAGCCACACTTATGACATTATCAAGAGGAGACCAGCAGGACTCTACTGCACACATACTCTAGTCTCTACTCTGCCTCCGGTCCCACCATCTTCGTCATGGTGGACGTCACCATCTTCTTGTCTGCCGCACTGAGAGAATAGCAGAGAGGCAGGCTGGAGTGCTTCTTCATGTACACCTTGCTGATGATCTGGTAGTTGCTTGTCCAGCGGATGGCCTCCCCATCGTTGTCGCTCGTCAGCTTGTAGTACTTGCACGCTCTGTTCTGTAAGCGCGGGCCGTCTGGGGGGGTCCCGTCACCCTTCACCTCACGGTACCACCGGCGGAGGAGGGGACGAGCTCCGGCGTATTTTTTTGGCTTGCCGATGGCCTCCCACCGCATCGGCGCCCGCCTGTCTGGCCTCTCGCCAGAGCAGCTCGTCGCCTTCATCGACGAGCAGGCGCCCCTCTGGAGCGCCGCCGCGCTGCGCGTGGCGGAGGAGCACGCCGCACGGCTCGTGGAGCAGCCCGAGTGGGTCCTCTCCGAGGTCCTCCTCTCGCCGGACCTCGCCCCGCACATCCTCGCCCAGCTGCCGACCACGGAGCACGCCGTCAAGGGGACGTGCCGCGCGTGGCGCCGCGGCTGGAAGGAGACGCTGAAGAAGCGCGAGAGGCCGCGCATGCTCGTGTTTGGCGGCCGTGACAGCTATAGCGAGTTTGTCAACTCGCTGGAGCGGTACGACCCGTCCACAAATGAGTGGGAGGAGGAGGCTGTGGCGCCGATGCCAACGGCACGAATGTATGTCGGCACGGCGGTGCTTGACGGCAAGCTCTACGCGGTGGGCGGCATGAGTGAGGCTGACGACATGACTTCCAACCTGGTGGAGCGGTACGACTTGGCTACGAAGTCGTGGGAGGCGGTGGCGCCGCTGGTGACGGCGCGGCAGGCTCACGCCGTGGCGGTGCTCGATGGCAAGCTGTACGCTGTTGGCGGGTACAGCGGCGACGACGGCCGCCTCATCTCGGCGGAGCGTTACGATCCGGCTGCCAATGCGTGGGAGGCGGTGGCGCCGATGGCGGCGGCGCGGTGTGATCACGCCGTGGCGGTGCTCGACGGCAAGCTGTACGCGGTGGGCGGGCAGGATGACGGCCGCAATCGCCTCAGCTCGGTCGAGCGGTACGACCCGGCTGCCAATGCGTGGGAGGCGGTGGCGCCGATGGCGGTGCGGCGGGTAGCTTTCGGCGTGGTGGTGCTCGACGGTGAGCTGTACGCGGTGGGCGGGCAGGATGACGGCTACAACGTGCTCAGCTCGGTCGAGCGGTACGACGCGGCGACGAACGTGTGGGAGGCGGTGGCGCCGATGGCAAAGGCGCGGTTTTATCACGCCGTGGCGGTGCTGGACGGCAAGCTGTACGCTGTTGGCGGGTGTGGCGGCGGCGCCCTCAGCTCGGTGGAGCGGTACGACCCGGCGACGAACGCCTGGGAGGCGGTGGCGCCGATGGCAACGGCTCGGGACGAGCTCACAGTGGCGGTGCTCAACTGTACGCCGTGGGAGGCTTGAACGACGACGACACCCTCAGCTCGGTCGAGCGGCACGATGCGGCGGCGAATGCGTGGGAGGAGATGGCGCCGATGGCGGTGTCGCGGGCTGCTGTCGGCGTGGCGGTGCTCGACGGCAAGCTGTACGCCGTGGGCGGCAAGAACGAGGACGAGGAGGACGAGGGCGTGATCCGCAACACGGTGGAGATATTCGACCCGGCCACAAACGCATGGGGGGAGGTGTCTCCGATGGCGACGGCGCGAGTCTGTTCTCTTGCCTTGCTGTAGAGGGCTCGCGCTCGGGGCCGTCCCGTGGTGAGCTATCATGTTAGTCTCTCGCCCCTCATCCCATGCAGCATGCTTCTCTGGTGCCGTGTACGTGTGCGGTGTGTCACGTACGGACGTACGGCTCACAGCTAGGACTGTGTGCACGTGTGCACGTACCGCTTAAGTTCGCTCGAGATAAGATTCGCTCGAGATTTGAATGAAGATTTGGACGGCCTTCCAACCGAGAGAGTTGAGACGGGATAACGCGCGATGAAAAGAAGAAAGCGTTGGGAGAGCCTCCCTCCCCTCCCACCGCATCGGCGCCCGCCTGTCTGGGCGCTAGGGTCGATTCCGCATGGTACGGGACCCCTGTTTAGTTTATGTGTGGTTCTTTTCGTCCGTGCATCAAACAATACATTTCACAACTTTTGAGCTCTCTTGACTACTTCGAGCAAGATCCGCTTCTCAACCCTCGCCACGCGGGCACGCTGAGCCTGAGCCCCCCCCCGCGCCCTTGCTCAGATTGCAGCCGGCGTGCACCAGCTGCGCGTTCTCCGCCGTTGTGCGCCCACCCCTCGCCCATGCCACCCGATGATCGAGGTGCGCGTACGTGCCGTCGTGCAGCCGCGAAGGGTCCAGCGGCTGACCGCAGATGGCGCACGCGCCGAGCTGGGCCGAGAAGCAGCGGAGGCGCAGCGCCTCGGGGTTGGCGAAGCTGCGGCTGCTCGAGAGTGGCTGCGGCAGCTGCGATTTCAGTGTCGCCTTGACGAGGTCGCGCCGCGCAGCGAACTTGGCAACAGTCACCTGCCCGCCCATATCGAGCAGGTCGCGCTCAAACAGGCGCTTGAAGGCATTGACGATGCCGCCCGCACTCTGCGTGAAGGAGAGCGTCGAGAAGTTCTCGAGCCTCAGCTCCGCGAGTACAGAGTACATGACGTCCCACAGCTGAAGGCTGACCGAGTTGGACCAGACCCATTCGTCGCAAGAACGGGAGGGCTCCCACTTGCGGGCAAACGCGTCCTCCGGACCCCAGACTTGCCGCGCCGTCTTGAGGACCCAACAGAACTCCTCCTCCAGCTCACGGAGGGTCACCGGCTTGCGCGCCTCGTCGAGCTCCTCAAAGCTCTCGAGCTCGAGGTTGAGGAAGGTCTTCACAGGCCGAATGTAGCCTTGCCAGCCACGGTTGAAGGCGAAGGCGCGCAGGATCATCTCACGGTCCGACTCCTTTGGGTCGAGGGTGTACGTGCCAGCGCGCGCCGCTCGCGGGTCCCGCACATACTGGAAATCGAGGTTCGTGGCCAGCTTGTCAAGCAGCTCGATGTAGGCACCAAAGTAGGCGGCGCGACGAAGCTGCTGCGCCTTGAGGTCCTCGCCCCCCGAGTTGATGTCCTCATAGGCTGCAAACACCTCCTGGCGCGGCGTGTCGTGCGGGATGATGGTGCAGGAAACGGTGAAGGACTGCAGCGCAAACTGACGCTCGCGCGAGAGGTGAGAGTACGAGAGGCCGTTGAGGTCCTCGTAATTCTCATCGAGCTTCGAGAGCCTCTCGAAGACGGGCGGCTGCCGCATGAGCGTCGCGAGGAAGCTACGGTCCTCGCTTGCCATGTAGAAGCAGAGTAGCGAGGTGAGCCGCTGCTTGCCGTCGACCACATCGTAAACCCCCTTCTCCTTCTCGTGCAGCACCACGCCCGGCACGATGCGGTTGCACAGCACGGTCACCACGAGCCGGCTGGCCCGCTCCGGCTTCCACACATAGTCGCGTTGGTACTTTGGGAACAGGTTGAGCCGTCCCTTCCGCAGCATGTTTGCGAGCTGGTCGAGCTCAAACATCTTGGGCGTCTGACCATACAGCTTGGACGACTCCAGCTCCCCGAGCACGCTGTTGTATTGCCGCCTCTCCACCTGGCTCTCGCCCTTTTGCTTCCGCTTCTTCTCACTCTCGGCGGTCAGCTGCATGGCTGAGAGCTGCTCGGCGCCTCTCGAGGCGGAGATCGCTGCAGACAAGGCCGGCGACCAGCGTTGCGTCGGCGGACGAAGGAGCGCCGCAAAGGGTATGAATAGTGTGCAAGGTGTCATGAGAGGGGAGGGCGTGAGCACGGCCGGGCCGACCCGGTGGTGACAAGTTTGGCAGTTTGCGGCGGGCCCCTCCACATTGTGGACAAAAGTATTCGTTTTTCCGGCGAGTAAGTTTTTTTGAGCTAGCCATCGATGGTAGGAAAAAACAAACACAAGGCGGACACAAGCACATCGCTCTCTCGGACCCCGAGACATACCGCACCCGCAAGTTTTTTCCGACTTGCGGACGCGTCCACGACGACAGGCCCGCAAGTGCAGTGATGGCGACTGCTTCCGCCTGGCAGCACAGCCCCGTGTGGGGCAGCGCGACGGGTACGGCGAGGCATTGCAACTCCGCGGCACAGTTCTCATCTGAGTCGACAAACAGCTGGCAGACGAACCGTGCTAAGCTCTCCTACACAGCCATCTTACCTAACAATGGGAACTCCACACTCCCCAGTATACTCCCTCTCTCTTAAATCTATTGGCGAGGCTGAGGGCGTCTTCGCACCAAGCGTTAGAGTCGACGAACAGCTGGCAGACGAATCGCCCCTCATTCACCTTGACAAAGTTGGACGTAGCCGCCGACACGTAGCCGGAGTAGTGGACGCAGGGGTGGCCCTCCCACGCAGTCTCGCCGTCCGCGCAAGGGCGGTGCTCCTCCACCTTGAAGACCGAGATGCCCCAAGCCTGGTCTTTGTCAGCGCCGCACGAGGACGTGGGCTCGAGCAGCGCGATGTTCTTGTGATCCCACGCGCTTGAGACCAGCGCGTCCGCCTCTGCCGCGTCGCCCTCGATGGTCTTCGCGAGGTGGTGAGGGAAATCGGTGAATTTGACCGCCGTCTGCGGGTAGTAGTTGAACTCGATGCCGGCGATGAAGTGGGCCGCGGTATCGCCCTCCGTCTCGCTCGCCTCGACGTCGCGCTCCTTCATCACGACGTTGAGGTTCGAGCAGAAGCCGGAGGTGGCGATCAGCCAGGCGGGATCATTCACCGGGTCGGGCACGGGAGGGTTGGGCTTGGGCGCAAAGGTGGTGTTGCGAGCGGTTGGGTTGATGTCGTTGACGGTGTTGGCCTGCGCACTCGTGTGATGCGTGTAGGCTCAGCCTGCATGTGAGTAACTGCGGCTGGGCGGAGCGACGCACCGGCAGGGCAGACGCCGACAGAGCGACGAACAGAAGCGAGGCAGCCTTGAGCATGGCCAGTCTAGATGTTCCCCCGTCGGATGACTCTGGGGCCAAAACCGCCGTTTTTTGCAAAAAAAAACAGAGAAGGGCTTGGTGCCTTCGTGGGCTCACCCCTCTCCTTAAAATCCCTGTGTGGTGGCGGCGTGCCGTCCTCCCATCCCTCCCTTGGGTTGTCCGTTTTCTTTCTTTCTTTTTGGACTAATGGACGCCCGCTCTAGTGCGCGACCGTAGCCAACTCCCCGTGTCTCGCGAGGCGCCGCGGCCGAGGCAGCGCGACGACGAGGCGGCGGAGCGTCCGCGTGCCGCCTTGCGGCGGCGGCATCAGCCCACCTCAGCTCGACGGCGGAGCCGACGGCGGATCCCTCCCTCCAAGCATCTCAGGATGACGAGCCGTAGGGGGCGACGGGTCAGCAGCAGCGGTCAAACCTGGGGGGAACTGACCGCATCAGGGTGGACCTGGGTGAGCACCTCTGACGGTTCTCGCTCCCCATCGAGCTCTTCTTGCCGCACGGCTCTTGCTGTGTGCCGGCACAGAGCTCCGTGCCAGCCCTCCAGCGAGATAGGAATAAGTGTATCGCTTTGTCGGATCGACCGTGCTTGTTATCAAGACCGATCTCACGTACACAGTTACACTCCAGACGTTCTGTACTCTCCTATCCGGCAACCGGCGAGACGCTGTCGTGAGCCAGCCGCTCTTGCGGCAGCCGCCAGCGGCGGCCGAGCGCGTCGCGTGAGTTGAAATCGATGTCTGCGCCCGCGGCGGCTGCTGGCGAGGGCAGCAGCGGCGCGCGGCGAGGCGGCAGCTAATCGGGTCCGAAGTCAGACTTCCGACCCGATTTGGGGTCTTTACACTTGAGCACTTGAGCACTGGATAGGGTCGATTCCGCATGGTACGGGACCCCTCGATCGTCTCGCCCTCCCTCACTGGTATGTTCATTGGGGGGGGTCACGTCTGAACCACAGCGTGTCCCGACTCGACCGCCGGCGTCCCGGTCCGGGGGTGTTTCTCTTCTTATCCGTTACCATGTAGAGCAAGGCCGAGGGCGGGCCCTTTCGGGCTCGGGCCGCCCTCTCGCCCGCACCTCTGCGGGGCTTGCACGTGGCAGCGGCGGCTCAAGATCCCAGCGATCTCGAGTTCTTCACGCTATCCACTGCGCCGCGGCTTCGCCGCGCCCATCCAAGCACAGGGCTTGGTTTGCTGATAACCGCATCTCGCTCTGCGCATCTCTGAGGCTACCCGCGCGCCGACTGCTACGCGCGCGGCGAGAGGCGCACCCCATCGGGGACAGGATTGAGGCCCCTGTACAAGCTCGGCAACGCTGCCGTCGTTGCCCTCCCGAGCCCTCAACACGGATGCCGCACATTGCGCAACCCGTTCTGCGCACATGCCGCAGGGAGGAGTTTTCACTCTCCCGTCCGAGTTTCTCCTTCCTGCAGGGCGAGAGACATCAGCCTCTCTACTTCCAGGAGAACATCTACGCCACACGCTATCCCGACGGTCCACAACCCACACTCTCGCTGCAGTCGATCCAGCCCTCGCACTCCCCACTGGAGATCTAGCCGAGGCCCCGGCGGACAGGATTGGAGCCCCTGTGCTGCGTCTGTGGTGATATGTGGGGGACACTTTCTCCTCCCTATTCATGTCAGTCACTCGACTGCGTCGAGGGGGGGGACGTCTGAACCACAGCGTGTCCCGACTCGACCGCCGGCGTCCCGGTCCGGGGGTGTTTCTCTTCTTATCCGTTACCATGTAGAGCAAGGTCGAGGGCGGGCCCTTTCGGGCTCGGGCCGCCCTCTCGCCCGCACCTCTGCGGGGCTTGCACGGGTCATAACAAACACGGTACAGGATCGAGGTGCACGCTGCCGAAGCAGTGTCGTCCCCCCTCTCCCCAACGGCGATGGCGGTGTGACCGATCGAGCTACAAGAGGAGCTTGTTCAGCAGGATCCGGACCGTCGGATGCACTACCTCACTGGGCCTGAGAACACCGCACGACCAGCCCCTCACCACTCCGGGTTTGCGTGGAGTCGAACCACTCCGGTATGGGCGAGCCCATTGATTTGAATCGAGTAGCTGGTTAATTGTCAGAATTCCTGTTGTGCAAGAGGGGAGGGGGCTCTGACGGAGTGTGTGGCGGGAGAGGGCAGGGAATGGGCGCAGGGGAGGGGGGGGGGGGTGGTTCTTTTTGCACAACACTGGGCAAAAGAAAGAAAGAAAGAAAACAGACACGCCAAACGAGGGATGGGACGAGGACAGGTTCCCCACCTGCACGAGCAGGATTTTGGAAGAACGATCAGGGGGACAGGTGGGGCTCTCCTGCTCCTGACAAGGGACACGACAGGCTCGCAGCGCGGTGCACGGTGGACTCCCAACTCCACTGGCGGTCTCATCTCAGTCTAGCGACCTGCCTCCAGCTTGTCGCTGGCAGTCTCTCCTACCACAGGCACACTGACACAGGGGTGGCAGGGGCGGCGGCACGAGTCTCCCACATACTATGCGGGCCTCACTAGAGGTGCGGCCTGTGCGTGTCCTCGCCCTTGAGGGGGGAGGGGAAGGGGCTGTGTGTCTGTGCATGTGTGCAAATGTGCGAGGGAGTTTCGTGGTAAGATTCTTTTTGTGCGACCGCCTTTCGTGGTAAAATTCTTTTTGAGAGTTCTTTTGTTTAAATTCTTTTTGATAGAGCACTTTCATGGCTTTGGCCGAACAGAGCGAGCAATGGTCGTCTCTTCGGCCAGTGTCCTGCCCACCAGGTTGTCTGCGATGAAGCTCGTCGTCGTCTCGGGTGCATCGCGCGGCCTCGGCCTTGGGTTCGCCAGCCAGTTGCTTCGCCGAGCGCCGCAGAGCACCATCGTCGCCGCGAGCCGCTCCGGCACGTCCGATGGGCTGGAGAGGCTAATGTCAGAGTACCCCGGCCGGATCCTGCCGGTGGCGTGCGACGTGACCGAGCAGGCGTCGACGCGCGCCCTCACCGAGCAGCTCAAGGCCGACCTCGGAGGCGCCAAGGTCGACCTGCTGCTCAACGTGGCGGGCAAGCTGCACGGAGGCCAGTCGTCGGCCGCCGCCGAGACGCTGCCGTCGGAGTATATGCCGGAGCGGTCGCTGGGTTCGATCGACGCCACGGCGATGCAGAGCGTCTTTGCGACCAACGCACTCGGGCCGGTGCTCATGGCGCAGGCGATCGCGCCGCTGCTCGCAAAGGGCGGCGCCAGCCCGTGCTGCGCGCGGCTTTCCGGACGCTTTCCGGAGCCGTACGGCACGCGCGTCGTGTAGGCGCGATCGTCGCCAACCTGTCTGCGCGCGTCGGCTCGATCGGAGACAACCGGCATTTAAATTCTGGGGCCGTACCGTCTTGTCTTCGTCAGAAGAGCCTTCTCGGAACACTGCACCGTAGGCTGGGCGGCTGGTGGTCGTACCGAATGTCAAAGGCGGCACCGGGACATGGGTCATCCTGGGGCTCGGAGCCTCGGCGAATCGTGGCGCATCACCTCGGCGAATAGGCGGCGCTGAGCAGCTGTCCCGTCGCCAGAGAAGGAATGCCATCACTGAAGAGAAGAGAAGCGCGACCAGGCGGCGCTGAACATGGCGACTGTCAACATGGCTATCGAGCTGCGGCGACGCGACGTCTACGCGGTCTCGCTGCACCCCGGCACCGCGGTGCGCCCGGAGTAGCCAGTAGTGGCGACGGCACGAGCTGAGAGAGCGCCGCCAGTCATCCCGCCCACGGTCGCTCTTTGAGGCGTGGGCACGGACACATCTCGCTGCTGGGCTGCGAGGCTCCGCCCTGAACCACCTCATCGCCCCCGCCTCCCCCCCGCGCGCGTGTAGGACACGGGACTGAGTGTGCCCTTCCAGAAGAACGTGAGACCCGAGAAGCTCTTCACGGTGGAGTACAGCACCGCTTCGATGCTCGACGTCCTCGACGGGCTCTCTCCCTCCGACTCGGGCGCCTTCTTCGACTACGCCGGGGCAAGGGTCGAGTACTGAGGGCAGCCCCTGCAGGGCGAGGAGAGATGGTGGTTACCAAACGACAGTCACTGAAGCGGCTCGGCCCGAATTCCCACGGTGGGTGCTCCTCTCTCGCGAGTGATTGAATGTGTGTTGTGGTGTGCTTGGAGTGCAGTCGGTAGCCTCATACATTGGGCTGAACACAGTTTGCCTCTCGCACCCCGTCTGTTTTCCTTTCCTTTTTTACAACACCCTCTCTTTTCCTCTCTATTTTCCCGGGAAAACTGCGTGGAAATCGTCAAATTTTTGGCTCTGTTTGGGCCCAAAATCAGCCAAATTTTAGGCCAAAGCGGCAAAATGCCGGGAATTTCGCGGAGAACCCGTGTATACCTGGAAATTACCCTGCGACCGCCTGGGTATTTTGTCGATTTCTTCAATTTTGCCTCAGATTTTGCCCCAGACCAGCTCTCAGACTCAGGGAAACGTTTCCAGAATGGAGCACCAAACACCCTCTGTTTTCCCTGGAAATTTCCGGAAACGCAAAGTGCTGGGGACCCTCTGTTTTCCTTTTTGTTTTCCGGAAAACTGTGTTCAGCCCAAGCCTCACATGGCCGGAGCTAACCTTGCCGGGGAGCTAAAATTTTGAACCTTGCCGGGGAGCTAACCTTGCCGGCAAAATTTCAAGTTGCCTCATCACGCGGCTGCGATCTCGGGGAGATATGACTCGGTTTTCTCTTGCCTCTCGGGGAGAACAAACGCCAAGGCGAATCGCTCTCGGGTCCATCACACCCGCCGCCCCCCCTCCCCCCCGCGCGCCCTGCTGCTGCTGGTGCTGCTGCTGCTGTTACCTCCGGTCCACACGGGTACTTCCTCGGACGTTTTTCTTCTTTCTGGCCGCCAGCAGTATGCGCCGCGGCGACGCGGCGTACGCCGCGGCGCATACTGCTGGCGCTTCGCGGGCTGAGGCGTGCGACGCCGCCGTGAGGGCGGTGAGGTTGGACGAGGTTGAGGCTCAGTCCTCGTTCCTCGTGCGCGCTGGGTGGTACGGCTCCGGCCGTGATGGGGGCGGGGAGGGGGCGGGGGCGACGGCCGCACGGAATCGCCGCCGGCGGGGGGCGAGGGCGCGGGCGAAGGAGGAGGAGCCAGAGCCCGGGGAGGATTGGGAGGGGGAGGAGCGGCCGGAGGAGTACGCCGGCCTCTTTGACGACCCGTAAGGGGCCGTCGCCTGCTGTGCCATTTGTAGTGCCAGTCCGAGCCAGTCTGCTGTGAGAGGGGCTTGTATACTAAAATTCTTCTTTCTGGGGATCACAAAGCCTCCCGGCCGACCTGGCGGTGGGCGACCTGGGCTCGCTGCGCGCCGTCCTGTCCGAGTGGGGGACGCGCGGCACGTCGCTCACGGCGCAGCTCGACGCGCGGCTCGACACCGAGAAGCAGGACACGCTCCTCACCTTGGCCGCTCGCCACGGGCAAGCCGAGGCGGTGCGGCTGCTGCTCGAAGCCGGCGCGAGCGTTGGGGTGACGACTGGCAGCCGCGGCGGCTCCGCGCTGTACATCGCGTGCCAGAACGGCCACCTCGAGTGCGCCCGGCTGCTCCTCGAGGCCAACGCGGCGGTCGATCAAGTCATGAAGGATGGCTCCACGCCGCTGCTCATGGCGTGCCAGAACGGCCACCTCGAGATCGTCCGGCTGCTCCTCAAGGCTGGCGCGGCGATCAAGCAAGCCGTGAAGCGAGGCGGCACGCCGCTGTACATCGCGTGCCAGAACAACCACCTCGAGATCGCCCGGCTGCTCCTCGAGGCCAACGCGGCGATCGACCAAGCGACGAACAACGGCTTCACGCCGCTGCGCGTCGCGAGCCAGAGTGGCCACCTCGAGATCGTCCGTCTGCTGTGCGTTGCTGGCGCAGTGGTCGACCAAGCCGACGAGCAAGGCGCCACGCCGCTGCTCATGGCGTGCCAGGAGGGCCACCTCGAGTGCGCCCGGCTGCTCCTCAAGGCTGGCGCGGCGGTCGGCCAAACCAACGACGGCCGCGTCTCCCCGCTGCACACTGCGTGCCAGAACAACCGCCTCGAGATCGTCCGGCTGCTACTCGAGGCGGGCGCAGTGGTCGACCAAGCCGCAGAGGACGGCGCCACGCCGCTGTACATCGCGTGCTTTAACGGCCACCTCGAGATCGCCCGGCTGCTCCTCGAGGCCAGCGCGGCGGTCGGCCAAGCCCAGAACCAAGGCGCCACGCCGCTGTTCATCGCGAGCCACAATGGCCACCTCGAGTGCGCCCGGCTGCTTCTCGCTGCTGGCGCAGCGGTCGACCAAGCCGAGGAGCAAGGTGCCACGCCGCTGCTCATCGCGTGCCAGAACGGCCACCTCGAGTGCGCCCAGCTGCTCCTCGAGGCCAGCGCGGCGGCCAACCAAGCCAAGCAGGATGGCGCCACGCCGCTGTTCATGGCGTGTCAGAACGGCCACCTCGAGATCGCTCGGCTGCTTCTCGCGGCTAGCGCGGCGGTCAGCCAAGCCAAGAAGAATGGCGTCACGCCGCTGTTCGTGGCGTGCCAGCAGGGCCAGCTCAAGTTCGCCCGGCTGCTCCTCGAGGCTGGCGCGGCAGTCAACCAAGCCGAGGAGGACGGCGTCATGCCGTTGAGCATGGCGTGCGCGGCGGGCCACCTCGAGGTCGTTCAGCTCCTCTCCTCCTACGGCGCCTCCCGCGCCGCAACGCTCCTCGGCACGTCCGAGGAGGCCGCAAGCCGCAGCGGCCACGCCGACCTCGCCGCTTGGCTGGTCGCCAGCCGCGGCTGGACGCCGCTCCAGCACCTCGAGGCGTGCCCGAGACTAGCGGCTGAAGAAGCGTGAGCGCATTATCCTCACGCTCACTGTCCCTCTTCCCGCAGGCGCTCACCGTCGACCGGGCGCGGGCGCTGCTGCGCGGCGGCGCGGACTCTTCGGCCGGCGAGCCGTCGGCCCTCGAGCGGGCGCGCGTCCTCTGCTCGTGGGGCGAGTCGGATCCGACCGCTGCGGCCGTCGGCTCCACCGTCGCGATCCACTCTCTCGTCTCGCGGCCGTCGATGAATGGCAAGGTCGGCGTCGTCGTTTTCGCGAGCGCTTCGACGGGACGCTTCGGCGTGCGCGTGGCGGGCGAGGCCAAGGCCCTCGCTATGAGGCGCGCTATGGCCTCTCCCCCACTCGCCGGATCCTCTCTTTGGACACACCCCACGCCTCTGCCCTCCCTCAGGCCGGCCAGCCTGGAGCCAGCGGCCGCGGCGGTGGAGGTGGGCAGGCTCATCCTCAAGGCGGCGGAGTGGTCGCCGCAGTCGCACGAGCTCTTCCCGGAGGCGGCTCGCAAGCGGGCGGTCGAGGTGATGCGGCTGGGCTACCTGATCGCTTGGGACGAGGAGCGCTTCGACGGCGAGGGGGCGGCGCCGGGGCTGGCGGACCTCTGGCGCAGCTTTGTGCTGCCAAGGGTGGTGGTGCGGCCCGCCGCAGGCGCACCGCGTTCCCCATGATACAGCAGAGCATGTCTTCCTCTGAGGCAAGCTGTAGCACTGGCACTAACACAGGTACACCACTGTGGTCGAGAAGTGCAACACAGCCCGCTCGCTCGCCAGTCCCGCCCGGCTCCATCCAGTCCGAGCGCCGTGGACGCGTGAGAGTGTGTCGGCAGCCTATGTGTGTGTGTGTGTGTGTGTCGGTGTGTGCGTGTGTGTGTGTGGGGGGGGTGTCACGTCACTGCATCCTCTGCTGGTTCCTCCCGTCGCCTCTTCTTTGTTCGAATGTTTTTCAATCCATCCTTCACGAAGCCCTCCCATGTAGCTAGCGTTCTTGGCGAATGTCTCGAAATGGCCAGCAGGCGCTGTCTGCTCTCGCAGCCTGCCAGCTGCCTGCGAGCGTCGAGGCTCGAGCTGCGTGCGGGCCGCTCGTCCTCCTCTCCCTTCTTTCATCCTCCCGTGTGAGTTCTAGAGAGCATGTGCGGCGTGAGAGAGATATCGATGCGATCTTTAGAAAACTCTGGTCAGTGGTCGCGTGGAGTACCATTAGCAGCGCGGCCTCGCAGCTTCGCGAAGGAGGGTACGCGCCTCGGGCTGCGCCCCACAGGCGCCACACACTCCCTCTCGCCAGCTCGTCTCTCTGCTAGCCACGCTCGAAACGCCCTCCTCTCCGGTGCCAGCGCGCTGACGAGGCGCGGCGCCAAGGAACCGACCGCCGGGTCGGCCGCCGGAGTGAAGGGCCCTTCTCCGGTAGCCCAGCGCAGGAGACCGAGGCGAGTGCAGGCGGTGACAGCGAGCGGCGATGGCGTGGCGTGCGGCAGCGGAGTCACTCCGCCTCTCCCATCGAAGCGCAGTGTCACCGCTCGCACCCTCCCGATGGCGTGCGGCTCAGGGAGTAGAAGGAGCTGCAAATCGCCCGCCAAATCGTGTACTCTCTTCGGGTCGAGCGTGGTGCATACAAACGCGAGCCCCTCCTCGACCTCGGGGTCATTGACAGTTGGCGCCAGCGGCAGCGCCGGCATAGACAGCGAGGGCGGTGCCAAGCTCGGGGCGGGCAGAAGCGAGGACTGCGGCGGCGGCGTCGAGCCGCGCGGCGCCGTCGCATCCTCTAGACCCGGCGGCCTCGGAGGAGGGACAAAGGGCAACGCGCGCGCTTCTGCGCCGCCGACCGAGGGGCCTGAAGCAGCAACGCGAGCGAACCACGGATGCGCCCGAACCGCAGCGTAGGCTGGGCGGCTCTCCGGGCGGCGTGACATGAGGCTCAGGATTAGCCGCATGGCCTCGTTCGAGACACCGCGCCACGCCGCGGAGGACATTGGCACGCCTGATGAGGACAGGACGTAGGGTGAGGCGCGGGAGATCCTTTCCTCTCCTTGCGCCTCTCATTCGCAAGCCTGTCGGCGGGGTCGCCCAGATCTGCTCCAAGAGCTCCTCCTCCTAACGGGAAAGGAGGGGGAGAGGGAGGAATGAGTCGGTCTCACGTGTCGGGGCCCAACCTGCCTCATCTCCGCCCTGTCCCGTCTCACCTCGAGCGATTGGTCGTAGGGCGGCTCGCCGGAGAGCATGACGTAGAGGGTGGCTCCCAACGCCCACAGGTCCACCTCCGCCCCGTACGGCTGCAGAGAGCCGCTCACGCTCCCCGCGCCGCTCCCAGGCCCAAACTCGGCCTCGAGCGTGGGCGTCGGAGGCATCGGCGCCGGTATGGTCTGACTCTCCAGCGCGTCGAATCTACGCGGTGCGTCGCCGGCAGCGGGCGGCTGGACGTCGTTGCGCTGCTTCAGCTGTGGCGTCGGTGTGTCGGGCGGCGAGCTATTGGGCGAGGAGAAGGCGGAGACGGAGAGCCGCGGGTCGACCGGGCGGCGGTCTGCAGAGCGCACCGTCTCAAAGTACCACGGACAGATCTCGGGAGCCGCATAGAGCGGCGTTCCGGCGAGAGAGGTGAAGCCGGCGCTAGAGATGAATGCGGCGGCGCCAAGGTCCACAACCTTGATCACTCGCCGCATCGGGTCGGCGAAGCAGCAGTTCTCAGGCTTGACATCACGGTGGCAGATCCCGTGCGCGCGGAGGTGCTCGAGCGCGGCCACAATCTGCGCGAAGAGCGGCCGCGCCTCGGCCTCGTCCAGCCCACCAGCCTCCAGAATGTAGGCGAAGAGGTCTCCGCCGCAAATGTACTCGAGATTGAGCGCCACCGCTGCCGGCGTACACGCCACCTGCAGCAGCCGCACGAGGCCGGGATGCGGCGGCACGGCCGACAGGATGGCCACCTCGGCGAGGAGCATCTCTGCATCCTCCTCATGCTCCGCCAGGTCCGCCACGGAGAAGCGCTTGAGGGCGCTCCTACCCCACGCTTTGCCGCCCGCCTTTCGCACCGCGAGGTTCACAACTGCCGTGCGCCCCGCACCCAGCTCGGGGCCGATGTCAAACAGGGCGGCGAGGCTGGGACCGACGAGGGCGCCGCGGCCGGCGTCCAGCTGCAACGATGGGAGGAAGAAGCGCTGCGGTGCTGGCCCGTCGCGCGCCGGCGGGCGCCGCCTTCGGCGCAGCGGCCAGAGGCTGCGTCTCGGGCTGGAGTCGCCGGACGGAGGCATTCGTGCCGGGGGCGAGCACCGGGCGCGAGGAGTCAACGGGCGCCTTTATATGGCGGGCGCTCATGTTTGTGAAGTTTCTTCAAACATTTTAGTTTTAGGAAGCATCTTTTCGGTGTGCACGCATCGCCATACCCCCAACAAACCCAACCCTTTGCCCCCCCGGATGTGCATAGAGGGAGGCTCCTGCATTCGCGCGCGCGGGTGTGCACTGCGGGCTGTTGCTCGACATCACCTCGTCTGGCTAACAACGCGAAACAACCGCGATTCGCGCCGGTGATGGGCATACCACACGCGCTAGAACCTAAACCCTTGCCGACGGAAAACCCGGCGCCTTCCTCAACGCCATCCCAATGCGGGATGACATGCGAATGGAGACTTGGGCGATGCGTCTTTCGGTGCAGCGCCGCCTGGGTCTCCCCCTCGACGTGGCCTGCCAGGCCGCGGCGGCGGGCAAGAAGACTCGGAATGGGAAGACCCACGACGAGTATGGCGACGCTGCTGTCAACGTACCGCAGCAGGGCCACAACACCAGACACAAGTACACGCTTCGACGCCTCATCCTCGCCCTACGCGCCGCGTGGGGCACCGCTGTGCGAATGGAGCCGAAAGCCCACCTCGGTCAGAGTTACAACAAACAACCCGACGTGGACGCGGACAACATTGGCAAGGACGGCACGCACTATTGCGGAGACGTCAAGGTCGTCTGTTCCCTCAGCAGCAGCGGGGAGCACGGTCGGAAGGGCGCTTTTGTCGCTTTCGGCAACACTGAATCATTCTACCGGAACATGGTCATGGGGCATGGGCCCTACTGCGAGGAGGGAGAGGGAGGTGGGGGGCAGGGAGAGGGGGGGGGAGAGGAGGAGGGGGGGGGGGAGGGGGAAGGGTACCGGGGGGGCGGCATGGAGGGGGAGAGGAAGAGCAAGGGCGAGAGAGGGCAAGGGACTGGGCGCTGGCATACCAGGGGGGGCAGGGTGGTGGGCGGCGACCGCCGCATACCGTCCTACGGCGGGGATTATCGCTACGCCAGGGAAGACAAGGGCGTCGAAGTGCAGCTGCTGCTGTTCGAATCGTTCGGCGGGTTCGGAAAGGGGGTCCGTGAGATCCTCCCTCCGGAGAGCGGCGGACGTGCTACAGAACAAGCTGACGCGGGCCCAGTACCTCGATGAGGTGACTTGGACCACCAAGAGCTGGCTGGGGCTGCAGAAGCAGCGCATCTCAGTCGTTCTTCACACGGCCATCGCAGAGCAGGTCGTGAATGAGCTTGCCTGTGGCGGGGGTGGGCGGGTGCACGGAGCTAAGTGCCTCGCCACCCTCGCAGGAGTCGCTTAGGCGGCTCCCGTGGTGTACCTGTGTTAGTGCCAGTGCGCGCCAGTCCCGTGCCCAGTGTTGTGCGAGGGAGTTTTGTTGTAAAATTCTAAAAAATCGTGTTCACACCGAATCAAGACTGTTCGGCCGGCTCTTCCGCCGATCACAGGCGCATCGGCGTTCCGAGAGTGGTGTGTTTGCATGGCTCCCCTCCTCCTCCACGAGCCCGAGGCCACGCCCGTCGAAGAGAAACCCTCGCCAACACCCGCCGCCGCCGCCGCCGCGCCCGCCGCCGCCCCTCCGCGCGTCGCCGACGACGTCGCGCAGTTGGCTCCGCTCTCGCACCGCCCCGGCTTCGCTGGCCCTCTGGTGCTGGCTCCGCCGATATTGCCGGGGCCGCTGGGCTCCGAGGCCGAGGCCGCCGCGCCGCCGCCCATATTGCCGCCCGCCGTGCCCGCCGCCGTCGCCCCGCTTCTTGTCCCCCACGCCGCCGCAGCGCCTGCGAGGCCTCCGGGAGGGCCGGCGCTGCACGACGCGCCGGCGAGAAGCGCACGCGGACAGCCCGTCATGTCTTCGCACGCGCCCGCGGATGTCGTCTTTGTGACCAAGCGCGCCTGCCGCGGCTGCCAAAAGGCGAAGGCCGCGTGCAGCCCGCACCAGCGGCCGTGCGCGCGGTGCGTCAAGCTAAACATTGTGTGTGAGAGCGACCTGCCTCCCGTCAAGACGGCGTGCACCGAGTGCCGGCGCGCAAAGGTCAAGTGCCTCTTCGGCGGCGCCGTGCAGGACTCCTCCTCCTCCTCCTCAGGCGCCAGGGAGTCGTCCGCACCGCACCCCACCCGACAATTCTTCCGTCACGACCCGCCACTGCAACCGTTTAGCCGCGGTGCCGCGAGGGGCTGCCTGCCCGTTCCCCCACCACATCGTGAGGTGTGAAGAGACGCCGTTCACAGCTTACCCAGCGCCTCGCGGCGCCCGACCTGTTCACATCGTGATGTGTGGAGAAGTGCACCTGACCTGACCTGACCTGACTTGACCTGACCTAATCACCCCCACCCCCAGATCGTGCGTGTGGAGACGCCTGACCGCACCCCCTCCCCGCGCCCAGACTCGCGGCGCTGCGATCGCTGCGTCCGCCTCAACCTCGCCTGCTCGCCGCACGTGCCCGGGAAGCGCAAGCGGAACGAGCGAGGGTCGACGCCGCCAGAGAGGCCTCGCGCCGCCCTCAAGGTGGGGGGATGCGCCGAGAGACAGCCGAGAACCGCAGCCGAAGCCGAGAGACAACCGAGAACAACCGAGAACAGCGGAGAACAACCGAGACGCAGCCGAGACGCAGCCGAGACACAGCCGAGACACAGCCGAGAGGCAGCCGAGAGGCAGCCGAGAGGCAGCCGAGAGGCAGCCGAGAGGCAGCCGAGAGGCAGCCGAGAGGCAGCCGAGAG